GTTTGGAATTGAGGGATCTTGGAGAAGTTTTTGAACCTTGATTGGTTCTACAGTTCCATAATTCCAATTTTTCCACCAAAAGTTGGGTGAAGGTTTGGAGGTGGTGGTGGGACCAGGGTGGGGTTTGGTGGCACGAATCGGTGGAGGGTCTCGGTCGCTTTGGCGGTTTGGGTGGTTCTTGTTGGGTCTGGTTCTTGTTGGACCTGGGGAGAATCTGGTTCTTGTTGGACCTGGTTCTTGTTGGACATCTTTGGATGTTTTGAGATGTTTTTGGACATCTTTGGATGTTTTGAGATGTTTTTGGACATCTTGAGGCATCTTTGGACATTTTGAGATGTTTTTGGACGTTTCTGGACATCTTTGGATGTTTTGGGAGATCTTTGGATGTTTTGAGACATTTTTGGACATTTCTGGACATCTTTGGATGTTTTGGGAGATCTTTGGATGTTTTGAGACGTTTTTGGACATCTTGAGGCATCTTTGGACATTTTGAGATGTTTTTGGACGTTTCTGGACATCTTTGGATGTTTTGGGAGATCTTTCAACGTTTTTGAGATGTTTTTTGACATTTCTGGACATTTCTGGACATTTCTGGACATCTTTAGATGTTTTGGGAGATCTTTGGATGTTTTTGAGACATTTTTGGACATTTTTGGACATCTTCGGATGTTTTGGGAGATCTTTGGACGTTTTGAGACATTTTTGGACATCTTGTGGCATATCTGGACATTTTGAGATGTTTTTTGGATGTTTCTGGACATCTTTGGATGTTTTGGGAGATCTTTGGACATTTTTGAGACATTTTTGGACATTTCTGGACATTTCTGGACATCTTTAGATGTTTTGGGAGATCTTTGGACGTTTTTGGACATTTTTGGACGTTTTGAGACGTTTTTGAGATGTTTCTGGACATCTTTGGACTCCTCAATCTCCTTCAAATCCCTTTCTCCTCAACCCCACCTCCTCTCCCGCTCCATCCCACCCAAACCCACCAAGACGAGCCGAGTTTTGATTTATTTTCTTTAAAAAAAACTCCGATTTTTTTCCCAATCCCAACGTTTTTTTGGGAATTCCCAGGCCCGAGAACACCCACAAGTCCACCAAGGCCAGCTACCACGCCGACATCAACCTGCTCTACTGGAGCGACGAGGAGACCACGGTGGAGTTCCGGGCGGTGCAGGGCCGCTGCTCCGTGGTCTACGGCGAGGACCTGACCGAGAGCATCCAGGACTACTCGGCCGGGGGCCCCGACCGCTTCTACTTCCTGGAGGTGAGGGAACGGGGGGCTCCAGGGGGGTGGTCCCGAGGGTCTGGAGATCCCCCAGGGGTGAGGGGAAGGTGGGGTTGTCCATGGAGGGGTTGGATTTGGGGCCAATTCCAGGATTTTTGGAATGAATTTTGGGTACTGGAGTGGGTTTTGAAGGGTCTGGATGAGCTCCTGAGGTTCTGGATGAGTTCTTGGAGGTCTGGATGAGCTCCCGAGGGTCTGGAGACCCCAGGGGTGAGGGGAAGGTGGGGTTGTCCATGGAGGGGTTGGATTTGGGGTCACTTTGAGGTGGGTTTTGAAGGATCTGGATGGGTTCCTGGGGGTCTGGATGAGTTCCTGAGGTTCTGGATGAGTTCTTGGAGGTCTGGATGAGCTCCTGAGGGTCTGGAGACCCCAGGGGTGAGGGAAAGGTGGGGTTGTCCATGGAGGGGTTGGATTTGGGGCCAATTCCAGGATTTTGGGGAGTAAGGTTTGGATACTGGAGTGGGTTTTGAAGGATCTGGATGATCTCCTGAGGTTCTGGATGAGCTCCTGAGGTTCTGGATGAATTCCTGAGGTTCTGGATGAGTTCTTGGAGGTCTGGATGAGCTCCCGAGGGTCTGGAGACCCCAGGGGTGAGGGGAAGGTGGGGTTGTCCATGGAGGGGTTGGATTTGGGGCCAATTCCAGGATTTTTGGAATGAATTTTGGGTACTGGAGTGGGTTTTGAAGGGTCTGGATGAGCTCCTGAGGTTCTGGATGAGTTCTTGAAGGTCTGGATGAGTTCTTGGAGGTCTGGATGAATTCCTGAGGTTCTGGATGAGTTCTTGGAGGTCTGGATGAGCTCCTGAGGGTCTGGAGACCCCAGGGGTGAGGGGAAGGTGGGGTTGTCCATGGAGGGGTTGGATTTGGGGTCACTTTGAGGTGGGTTTTGAAGGATCTGGATGGGTTCCTGAGGTTCTGGATGAGTTCTTGGAGGTCTGGAGACCCCAGGGGTGAAGGAAGGTTGGGATTTTCCATGGAAGGATTGGATTTGGGGCCGATTCCAGGATTTTAGGATCAAATCTTGGATACTGGAGTGGGTTTTGAAGGATCTGGATGAGTTCTTGGGGATCTGGATTAATTCTTGGAGGTCTGGATGAGTTCCTGAGGTTCTGGATGAGTTCTTGGAGGTCTGGATGAGCTTTTGAGGTTCTGGATGAGTTCCTGAGGTTCTGGATGAGTTCCTGAGGGTCTGGATGAGTTCTTGGAGGTCTGGATGAGCTTTTGAGGTTCTGGATGAGCTCCTGAGGTTCTGGATGAGTTCCTGAGGGTCTGGATGAGTTCTTGGAGGTTCTGGATGAGTTTTTGGAGGTTCTGGATGAGTTCCTGGGGGTCTGGATGAGTTCCTGAGGGTCTGGATGAGTTCCTGAGGTTCTGGATGAGCTCCTGGGGGTCTGGATGAGTTCCTGGGGTTTTTTTTCCAGGCTTACAACGCCAAAACCAAGAGCTTTGAGGATCCTCCCAACCACGCCCGGAGCTCGGGGAACAAAGGGAAGGGGAAGGGAAAAGGGAAAGGTGAGGCTGGAAAAGGGTGGGAAAAAGGGGCTGGAAAAAAGGTGGAAAAAAGGTGGAAAAGGGTGGAAAAAGGTGGAAAAGGGTGGGAAAAGGGATGGGAAAAGGGATGGGAAAAGGGTGGGAAAAGGGGCTGGAAAAAAGGTGGAAAAGGGTGGGAAAAGGGTGGAAAAAGGTGGAAAAGGGATGGGAAAAGGGATGGGAAAAGGGGCTGGAAAAGGGATGGGAAAAGGGGCAGGAAAGGGATGGGAAAAGGGGCAGGAAAGGGATGGGAAAAGGGTGGAAAAAGGGTGGAAAATCCCAACCTTCCTTCACCCCTGGGGTCTCCAGACCTCCAGGAACTCATCCAGAA